GAGAGAGAGAGAGAGAGAGAGAGAGAGAGAGAGAGAGAGAGAGAGAGGAAGGGAACAAGAAAAATAAAATCAAATTGAACGAAAGAACCCATCGACCGAGACATCGTTAAAAATGCAATAAACTGTTTAAACAAGAATAACGAGAAAGAGATGAGATAAGAAACAAGTTTATGCGCTCAACAAAAAGAGACGCAAATACACGTATGCGCGTTCTGCATCCATGCACATGAAGAGTTAATTCATGGAGTGTGTGTATGTGTGTGTGTGTGTGTGTGTGTATGCTTGTTCTTCGTCGTTATTTTTTTCTTCTTCAAAATGCAAAATCATAATTTTCTATGCATCCATAAAGCCATGACCACAATAAGACATCGATTTCCATCAAAGTGCACTCATTGTACGCGCTTTGGGTCCCAACAACAATGTATTGAATATAGTTGATGTGTATGTGTGTATATATGTGTTATCCGGGGGAATGCAACGTTATATAACGTGACTAATGTCCAGTCAGAATGATCTAATTTCTTGGTGCAAGAGCATTTTTTTTCTCTTCTCTCTACATATCTGGATCGTATACGCCACTATAAACATCAAACAATGTCATATGAACCGAATGACTTTGTGCATTATGAGTGAACGAATGAATGAGCGCGTTGAACGACTTCAATCATTATAATTTATTCGGCGTCTATGTAAATGGGTGAAAATATGCGGTGTTCATATGTTGCGTATTTTGCACCCAATTTGCATATGAGCAAATCAATTTCCAAGAAATCGACAACTAACACACATCCACATAGACACACCAAGAGAGAGAGAGAGAGAGAGAGAGAGAGAATTCACTTTTGTGGGGATTAATGAAAAGATAACATCGCATGAGCATTGGCTCATACAGGCTCACGCGATTCGATGCCGATCCGTCCATGCGCAAAAGACATACCGAAAATCATTGTTGTTCATTACAATGTCAAATGAATCAACAGCTCTCGGTTACTTTTCATGCTCTCCACCGTCTTTCTTCACTGCATTTCAATGCACACGCACTCTCTCTCTCTCGCCACAAAATAACAATAATAATGATCATAGCGGCCGCATAACGCGCGTGCCTGACCGGTTATTGAATGTGTGCGTGCACATGTTAGTAAATTGACAATAATAATTGATTGAGTGCGTAAATAAGAGTGAATTACACGTTGGATTGGCGTTTAATCTGCAATAATTATAATCAATAAATATTAATTTAGTAATTTGCACACGCTTACATCGTACTGAAAGAAGAAAAGGCCCGAGACTGCGTTCGGCCAAGGAGTAACAGAAACATTGACGGCGCGGCAGCAGTGGCTACAACGACGGCCATGCAAACACTGATTAAGCGTCAAAACAACTTTAGGGTGTAAAGTTCCTTTAAAAAAATCCTACAGTTTTGAGATCACAATTAAAAATGTTTGCTGTCGTATGACAATTTCTCGGAAAAATTCGCCACACTATAATAGTCTAACGTGCGACACTTGATTCTTTTCACCTCTCTCTCTCTCTCTCTCTCTCTCTCTTTTTCTCTATTCCATGTATAAAAGGAATATCAAGGCATTGGACCGACTCTGTGTGCTGTAATGTAGGTTCTTATACGCTCTTTTTTTCTCTATCATAATTTTCTATACGATTTGCTCTTTTAAAATAAACTGAAACGCATATGTATATACATGCCGACAGAACATACATATGTGTTCAGCGACGACGACGACGACAACAACAACAATACAGCCAGCGCCAATGGCCGTAATGGAAGCTCTGCTACTGAAATATCGTATGAAATATATGATAAGTTCATGTCTGTATTTACTCGTATGGCCATGTACTGACTTGATTATTTAAAAAAAACACTTCTTATTTCGTTGGTGTCATAACCGAAATGAAAAAAAAGTACGATAACGTCAACAAATGACTGATGATTTCATCAATGACTCTCTGCTTACTTGGAATATCGTCGATTTTGTTGACTGTTTTGTTTTTCTCTCTCTCTCTCTCCCTCACACTCAATTTCTTTTACTTAATTCGTTGCTGAGACTTCAATTTCTCCTTGTCATTCGGCATTAAGGAATAATTGGATCACATACAAACACACAATCGCACAATGCGATATAGCAGAAAAATAGAAGAAGAAGAAGGAAAAAAGTAATTCACGCCTTTTCCTATTCTTTTCTGAATGACATTTTCGTCTCATTTTTTTTTGCTCCTTGCAATGAGTTTGAAAAGGAAACGCAAATCCGAATGTATAAGCTCACGCATGCAAACAAGATTGGAATGTTGGCAAATCTACAAATACCGCTGCACTCACTCAACTCAATTGAATGGAAGAACGAATGAAACGACAACAAAAAAAAGCGAAGAGAATCTATACGTATGAAAAGCAATTAATGCGACTTACCGTCTTGCCATCGACTTCGATATCAGCCACATAATTCTCAAATACTGTTGGTACATACACTTCTGGAAACTGATCTTTGCTAAACACGATTAATAGGCAAGTTTTACCACAGGCACCGTCTCCCACGATAACTAATTTTTTGCGGATGGCCGCCATTGGTTCTAAAAATTCAAAATGAAGAAAAATAACAAACAAAACAATAAAAAAAAATGCTTTTTCGCTGGATGCAATTCTTGGTTGCTGTTTTTTTTTTCGGTTTCTTTCAATTATTTTTTATCCATGATAAATTATTAACACCATCGACCATCGATCGAACGTATTTTTTTCTGTTTCAATTTTTTCAGTTGCTTAATTGATTCAACACTTCAAAAAAATGAAAAATGAACGCATACATCAAATGTATGCAACAGATGAATTTTCTATGTGGTTAATTTTCTCCAAGAGCAATAGAGAGAATGAGAGAAATTTTCGAAAGAAAAAAAAAATGATTAATTCGCTACAATTTCTCTACCGATAACACAAAAAAAGGCTTTATTTCGCTTCCGATTCGTAAATATAAATGCAGAAATTGATTCAACTATGTGGATTTTGGGTTTGGACAAACGAAATGCGATGTCAACTAGTTGATTCAGCTTCACACATTCCTGATCGTCTACACTTTTTTTTATTGCTTTGCTAATGTGAGGTTTTTTTCCTTCTCTTCGGGGTTCCTTGGCCGTTCGGCTAGAGAAACTCTCAATTTTTGTGTCTTTTGGATACCTTTTTTTCTCGTAGATTTATACTTTTTTTTTCTTCTTGCATCAATCGCTTCGTCACCTCAAGGCATACCAAAAGGGAAGAAAATATACTATTTATCGAATGCCTGAGCTCTCGTAATAAATGAATGTAAGTTTTATAACAACAAACTCGTCACAAGAATTCGTAAGAAGTCTGCAACTTCGTATCACATTTTTTCTCTCTCTTCTTTTTCTCTCTTTTCTCCATAGCTCAAAGTGTATCATTTATCACACAATCACACAAAAATTCTTTCTTAGATACCTTTTTTTTATAATGGAGGTTTTTATTTTATTATGCAGAATAATATAAAGTTGTCTTGGAACTAAATGTTACGAGTTTACACAAAAGACGGTCGGTTTTTGTTTCGTTTTTGCTAAATTAAATGTACGGAATTCTGGTTGAAACTTAATTTGTACACTTTTTAATTAATTATTGTTTCGTGATTTTGATATTTTCACTGCTGCTACTAAAAAAAATTTTAATAAAAAAAAAACTGCTACTTGTGCGCCCTCTCGCACTCTGTGTGATTCAGTGTGTATTTGTGTAAGAACAACGCCTTGTCGCCATTTTGGAAACGTACGGCTTTTTCCAATCCAACCAAAAGAATCTGACACAGGGTTCGATAATCGCTTGTACCAACTATCTCACTCAACCGACCGACAATATTACCCGATAAAAATACCAATTTTATATTCACATTGACTACATGATTTGACGCAAGTTAATCTTAAAATTGGTTTTTGTACAAATAATTTCAACGAATAAAAAAAGAACCAGCATCTTTTAATATACCAAATAAAATCAAACCGATGTTCAATCGTAACGTTAAACTGAAATTCGAATGTTCAAGTATGATATGGCTAACCCTACGTTTGACAGCTTTTGACTACGTACGGACAGAGAGAGAGTGATGAAAAAAAAACCCGATTCATAAACGTTACGCTTTCGGCGCGAATGTCTGTGAAATATTTTACGTTCAAAAAAGTCAAATACACACACATAGGCAAATACCGATTTGACTGACTGACAGGTGAAGCAACTGTCAAAATACTACACCGAAATTAACCGAATCAAAGAGAGATGAAGATTTTCTTTTTATTGTTTTTAAACTGTTGAATATCCTGATTTTTACCGTTCCGTTTTCTTACCATCGATGTAAACAACTCACTATTCGGTTGCTTTAAATACTAACAAGAAAGAGTGAGAGATATGAACGTCAAAGTCTATTTCTAGCAATCTATCGAAATGATCGGTTCGGAAAAACATTGCAACAATCTGTAAATTCATGCGCTACACACATTGATTCTGATTGATTGCCGTTGTCATCATTGTCGTCGTTCTCTTGCGAATTTTATTCACGTTGTTCACCGCTTTTAAATATTTTTTTAATGCGATCGAATCAATTAATTGATAACTACATAGAAAATTGTTAATATCTCTCTAGTTTTTTTTTGGGTTATATAATTTGAACCACTCGGTTAGAATCACGATTTCTAATCTAAAGTTTTAAAATCGTAGGAAAAGAAATGCATCAGCCAGATGGACGAGTACGAAAAGGTATTGACCACAGCACCATTTGTTATTTCAAGCGAATAGTTAGAAACAGCGGAAAATATTTAAGCAGCGACACGATAAACTGTAAACTCTTTTAAATACTAAACAAAAACAAACTTGTTCAATGAATTCGAATGTGTTTTGAAAGTGGCCACAAAATGATCATCAGTTCATTTGCATATTTGAATTGACTGCACCAAGAAACCGCTTTTCTTCGAATGCAAAGAAAAAGAAAACAATTCCATTGGGTTCCTATCACCTGAATGCCTGAGGCATTCATGCTGTGATAAGGATGTATGTATCGTGTTTGATTCACACACAAATGACTAACGTTAGTCTATTTCTATGGCCAACGATCAAAATCACATTTTTGAAAAACACACACAAAATAAGGCGATTACAGGAGACGAACGATGAATCATCATCGAATGCATGATCAAATGTCTCGCAAATAAACAGTTTGTTTTGTATTTATTTTGGTTTTTTTTATTTAAGCGAATCCTAAATATACCTGTATTAGTTGAAGCAAAGTCGCATGAAAAACACCACATTACTTGCAAGAAAGCCTTCACCACATGCAATAATAAAATTACTTGATTTTTTTTTATCTCGTTTTTTTGTTGTTGTTTGTTTGTTTGTTTGTTCGAAAACTCACAAATATAGTATGCTTATCGAATACCTTGCTGTATTTCGTTTTCGATTTATTTGATTTTAATTCGCAGACGATGTTCGAAACGCATACGTTTTGTTTTTCTTATTATTTTATGAGATAAACAGAGATAGAAAAAATGTATGAAATTAAAATAATAAAAAAATTTGCCGTTCAAAAAAAAAATTTACTTTGCCGTCGATTCTTTCTTTTTTTTTCGTGTATTCGGTGTATGAATTCCTTCTTTCTTTCGATGTCGCTTTTTTTTGTTCTCGTTAAAATCGCACTACACAATACTTATAGCTGAGTTTGTTTTTCGAATGGAAAACTTAATGCAACTAAAAATTTCGAAAAGTTTTAAATGCAAAATAAACACACAAAAACGAACGAAATGTGTTTTGTTTTCTTAGAAAAATTGATGACTTAATTAATTGGACACAGAGATTCACAGTCAACACTCATGACAAACACAAATACATTGAACTTGATTTAGGTGTTCGTCGTATTTTTGCAATGCCGGAATAGTGCAATCGTAAATGTCTTTTTGGACGGCAGCCAACATTGCAATATCAAAAACGGAATGCCTCTACGACTGTTGTAGTTCAACTACGTCTTAACGTTGGTAGCGACACCTTAGCCAAAGGAACCAGAAAAAAAGTCGGTATTGCAAATTCTATTCACTTCTTATCGCACACATTTTGGATGATTCACAATTTGGGAATTGAAACGATCGCTTTGAAAATTGATATGAATCGTGGTTTATTTTATTTAATTTTCTTCCAAAAAATGCAATAATGTCCAAAAAAAAAGGAACTGATGGTCAAGATACAATTAATATTCTTCTCATTCTTCCATAAGTTTGATGGGTTTATTGTTGCGATTGCTTTCAGCACGGAAAATATGATGAGCCACTTGCTTGGATCCAACGAACTTATCGGAGTTGTAAACATACGGTACGGCACCACGAATTTGACTGTGTTGATTCAGAAATACCGCTGATGGCAATGGAATGGCACCGATTGCAAGCACATTTACGCTAACCAATTCAGACAATGGGATCATTGATAGGAGATACAATTTATTTGTTGTTGCATCAACACTTCGAACAATACCTGCGAACATTCAATTAAACATTTCAGAATGAATTTCATTAAACAGTGTATCAAATTAAATTTACCTATTCCATGGCAATCAACGATGTCATTTTCATTGTCCGCACGTTTCTCACACAAATAGACTAGATTACCGTTCAACAAATCCAAATAATCCGAAGGATTGATCTCTTCGCCGCTTGTCACGAGAACACTTAAATCGTTGAGCGACGCCCTGAAATGATTAACCAAAAATATTCCGTAAATTTCAATAAAATTTAAAGAGTATTTAAATCAGTTAGCAAAAAGTGAATCTTACTCGAATGGTTTAACGCTGGTGAGCCAATCGGAGTTGAATTTCAGGCAGTTGCCCAATTTGGCCAGAATCATAGTGTATCGAATGTCTTTTGCATTCATGTCCACCTGCTTGTGATTGCCTTTGCCTCGGGCTGCATTGAACACGTGTGTTGTGTACTTGCAGCTATCCTTGATTTGCTTCATTTCACTTTTGAAAACATTAAATTTAAAGCCATTAACTACAGCAGTCTTCATGATTTGATCAAAATTCTCCATGGCTAATCGACTTTGGATCTGAACCAAATCGGTCGGTTTGAATATTTTCAAAATGCACGCTATCAGTTCACTGCCAAAACCACGACTGTAGCCCATTGTGTTGATGACCCAAGGAATTTTCGCAAATTCTTCGTTTGACGAACAAAATTTGTGAATTTCGGCCACACAGCGCCAGTATTTAATGGGATCGGGCAGAATGTTGATATCACCGAATAAAACTGCTTTGGCTGGTTTAACATTTTGCAAGTAGCCGGGCCCGAGAATTGGTTCAGTGACAACCGTTGCGCTCAATGTTTGTGGCACAAACAGCTCTGGTTGCCCGATATCCAAGTCGATGAACAAGAATTTTTTGAATTTATCAAAATTGGAATTGATCAAGTGTCGAACGAATGTTGATTTTCCCACACCTTTGCCACCAATTGTTATAAGCTTCGAATCGTCTCTCAAACTTAATGTTAACCATTCTTCGTTCAATACCAATCCGTTGGCTGGTTCATTTAAAAATTTGCAACGCAACACAAATTCGCTGCTATAGAATGGGCTTTCGTTGTTAAATGCGTTGATGTTCGGGAATACAGTTTCGCGCATGTATCGTTCGATCATATTCACACCTTTGTTGGTTTGATCACGTTCCAACAAAAGAATTGCATCGTTGCCACAGTCAAATACTTCTTTCAAGTAGTTGAGGTCTTGCAAGTAAAAATCATCTTTCAAATGGTCGAGTGCTTTCAAATTTGTTTGAGCGGCGGCTGTATTTGATGTTGGAATCAGGCAAATCAAACCATGACCACGCGGTGAATGTACTGTAACCGTTTTGTTGGGCTGGAGCTCGTAGCCAGAAGCAGTTGCTTTGCCGGCAATCAGCTTCACATGCAAACTTCCATGGAAATGCAGTGTTTTTCGCAATAGCAGAAGAACATGTCGCGAATTTACTGAGTTAAAGAATTTGGGCTCGGTATCTCTTGCATCGGCAATTTCCATTGGTTCAGGAGAAGTTTCTTCATCTTCCTGTATCTCTTCCTCTGTGTCACTTTGTAGCACACCATTCTCGTTAGAACTTACTGAGGCGTTAAAGCTCTGATTCATTTCGACCTCCATTTTGTTTGATTGAACTACATTTGGCCTAGTCTGATTTATCTTAGGCTTTGATTTATCTTCATTGGGATCTGGAATAGACACAACGACCACTTTCTTTGAACTGGCTTTTGGGTAAATGATGTCAAGTTCTTCTTCATTCGATGGTTGCCCATTGTCGTCCAGCCAATCCAATGATGAATGATTGGATTTCTTCGAACATTTCAAAAATGTCACCGAATCATTTTGAGTGTTATTATCCTCCGATGACGACATACTCCTATTCAAATTATCCATATTGTAATAGTCTTCAACACTTTTCTCATATGCCAACCGTTTTTGCTCTTCAGTCAATAGTTTTTCCTTTTGTTGTATTTCTTTGATAACCATTTTCTCACGCTCCATTCGCAGGAATTTGGATTTGTTCACACTCATTGGGACCAACTCCACACAGCTATCATCGTCTGAATCACTTTTTGGCACTTCAATAATACGCGATTCGGTGTCATTTTCGAATAATTTTATACGTTTATCGGTAATTTTATGAGTTGAAGCCGTTCCTTGAGCAATACGGATGTCATCATAAGCGCTATCTGAAATATCGAAAATAAAAAACGAATAAAAAATATTTCGTAAAATTATGAAATTAATCAAAATCCAATTCAATGAATGTAACAGAAAAACATCCAAATATTATCGATAGTACAGATTGTACGAACTGAAACCGGTGTGTATTTTTGGTTGGTGGTATGTTTTTTTTCCAAGATGGCGACGTCGTGTGACACTTTATCTCTGTGTGTTGACAGCGACAAAAGAAGAAAAATCGATTACATAACCTAACCCTCTAGAATAAAAAAGTCTATCTGTCGTATTGACTGCGAGGTGTAAGTAAGTTGCTGTGAACATTTATTTCACACAACAATTTCTCTCTATTCTGTGTATTACGTAAGTAATAAAATTTTGGAATTTTCATTTTTGATTGTTGCGATAGGAAATCGAAAACGATGGCAGCAAAACGTATTTCTCAATCGAGCGTTAATTGGGCCGCACTTTCTGAGCGTGTACCAGTAGCTCAGAAGACCAATTTCATGGCATTCAAGTCACGCAGTGACAAATATCTTCGTGCTGTGCTCGCCAACCCAGAGCAATCACCGAAAATCGATTGGGCCGCATACAAAAATAAAATCCCAAATGCTGCATTGGTTGATTCATTCCAAAAGGCTTATGAATCGTTGAAAGTTCCATACCCAGCTGACACTTTGTCATCGGAGGTTGACAAGTTGCGTTCGCAGGTGACACAAGAAATTGCTGCGTTCAAAAAGGAATCAGAAGAACGTATTGCCAAGAATAAAGCCGAAGTGGAACGTATCAAGGGTTTGTTGCCATACGGACAGATGACATTGGAAGACTTCCGTGATGCTCATCCAGATTTGGCATTGGATCCAATCAATCGACCAACATACTGGCCACACATCCCAGAAATTCAACCCGACTACGTTGATCCAAATGAAAAGGACGAAGAACACCACTAGAGTCTTAATCAAGTCATGTTAGGTAATGCGTTTTTCGGTCACAATGCAAAACACCGCATGGAATTATCATAAACAACAACAACAACAAAACAAAGAAGCAAACAACAACAACAACAATAAAATCCTAATTGATTTCTATTCGATTGAAGTGCATACCAGCGCAATCAATTTCAATGTAGTTCGAAATTTAAAAATTTATCAAATAAAGTGTTAAAAACATAAACTGAATGATTCTTGTTATTTTTGAAGAAAGAGAGAGCAAATGGGCAAAATGGATTTTTGAAGAGAATTGATTGAAAATATGACGACTTTTTTTGTAAGGAAACATTGAACTTTAGAACAAAATATGGAGTTTTAAAGAGAGAGATTGTCACTTGTTGAAGGTAAGATTATTTACTGAATAAAAAGGTTCTTTTTGTTAGAAAAATGAACTTGAACTGAAACTGAAACTCACTCGTGTACTCGTGATCGTCACTTGAACTATGGTCATCATCATATCGTCGACGGTGCATAAAGTCATCATATGTATCGCCACTGCTGGCGCTTGAATGTTCACCACAATCACTGTATGAATCTGAATTGTGCTCTTCGTAGCCGTCATAAGTACTATCATCTTCGTATTCATCCATCGATTCAATGTCAGTGGACTCGCACTCGTATGAATCATCCGATGACACTTCAATGGCTTCAGAGCCCAATGAAATTTCGGAATCCGATCCGTACATCATGTCATTGTCATCATAGTCACTTTCAGTGTACCCATCTTCCTCATCCTCTTCTGGCCACATATAATCATCAAAATCGTATTCTCCTTCATCTTCATCTTCATCTTGCGTGTAACTAACCAATTTATTCTTTGGCGAACTATTCTCCAGCTTTGCTGTCTCGTTCGACTGCTTCTTTTGCTTCTTCTTATTTTTCTTGTTTTTCTTGTTGATCGGTGTCGTATCTTCTGAGGAAGCGGTTTCGTCTGACTCAGTTACTTCCCCAGAAGCCTTTGATAAAAAACCATTCTGACGATCGGCCTCGATTTCATCCAGCGAATAAATGTGATTCTCATCGAAATTATCGCCACCACCAAAGAATTTGTCAATATAACTGTCCGCTTCGCTGTCTGAATTGCTACCCGATCCATTGACATTGCTATCCTCAACATTGTGTACTTTAATTTTTGGTGCATTTACATTTTCCTGCTGCTGATTTAATTTCTTCTTCTCTTTCTTTTCCTTCTTTTGTTTCAACTTTTCTTCAACTAATTTCGTTTCTTCTTCATCGTTGGCATTTGTTTCCACAAAACCAGCGACTGTTTTGAATCGCTTCTTTCCAGAGTATTTGTTAGTTACTTTAGCATCGTCACCCTTTCGTTTGGTTTTACCCGTAATGTCTTTACCATCACATGATTTCGATGTGACTTGAACTGTTGAAGTACCTTCTGTCAAGTTCTGTTTCTTCTTCTTTTTTTGCTTCTTTTTCTTCTGCTTTACTTTGTCTGGCAATGGTTCCGTTTTCTTGGCCTCGTTCACCACCTTATCCGATGAATTTTTGTTTATTTCGTTGGATGTCGGTTGATCATTCTTTAATTTCTGATTGGTTTTACTATTTCCACTGAATTTTTTCTGGCCACCGTTCTGTATGCCATTTTCTTTAACATTTTCAGCAGTTTTATTGAATGGTTTTGACTTCTTTTCTATTTTATTTGGCTTAATAGGCACATTTTGGTCAGCCTTCGGCTTAAATCCACTTGTCGATGGTACACTTGGGATATTGAATTTTGCATGCGATCTCTGTGTTTTGGCTTCCGTTATCAAACTTTCGGTCGCCTTATTCTGTTCATTGAATATCGCCGATTTTAATTTGCTCTTCAATTTTGTGGCGAATTTGTCTTTCTTCTTCAAATCAACTTTTTTATGGTCCGTCGGCTGATTCGGCTTCTTAAACTGATTCTTTGCCATATTTCCACTGAAAAGATACATTTGTTTATTGAAAGTCCGTCGGTATAAATGATAGTCACGTTGGATTTGTTCGTGTGACACATCAAACTATTTCACTAGAAGTGAACTACTTACCTTCGAATAAAATAACAAATTGATGTTTAAAATTGGGCTTGAATCCACGATAAAATAATCATTTCCAATGAAATATCTGGGCTCAAACTGAATTGTTAGCAAACCGAAATGTGTTTCAAATAGCATGACAGTCAATGCACATGGTCGGTAAACAACACTGTGATAGACAATTAAACGATATTTGACACTTCTTCGCGTTGTGCCGATGTGTGCGTGTCAGCGGTGCGTTGTATATGTGTATCGGTATGTATTGGTATGTATACGACTCTGAATATGAGAGAAGACCGTTAGAGAATTCGAGAAATTTCGTCGCAATTCAACCTTCTTCTGAGATAAAAACGATATTTTTAAGATTTTTTTGAAAAAAAAAGCGTTTCTATTGAAACTTTGCTAAAATCTGACTTTTTTCTCTTTGAAAGATTCAAAATACATCATGTTTCTATTATGCAATAATATATGGACAGATTTTTTTTTAAAGAGAAGCAATTTAAAGAAGATGTTCAAAGGAGAGAAATAAAGAGAAGCAAACAGGGACCGATGCATTTGATTCCAATTTTTTCGATTTAGATCCCGAAAAAACGCGTGAACACAGTAAATAAAACACAATGAAACAATTTTAATGGTAACCTTATGTTTATTTTCCTTAAATATTATAGGAAATGTCATAATTATTGGTTTATTTTCATTAAATTCTACACGTATTCCCTTTTCGCGTTGTTGTTTTTTTTTGTTTAGTTGATTTCATATAATTTTATTGTTTAATTAAATAAAGTCGCAAACATAAATTCATTTTGATTTAAAAAAAATGTCCATGTTTAATTTTTGTTGTTGCTTATTTGTTTCTTGTTCTCAAACTGTCTGTTTGAGTTTATTCTATTAGTAATTGTGTGGAGCACGAGCTCATGTGAGAGCTTAAATGCTTAAACATTTATGTATTGTTCTCATATTTTGCATTCAGTAAATGAAATATGTTTACGCATTGCGCACAACCTTACAGTCTAATGTGCAAATCAAAACTAAACAAAAATGGGATATAAAATGAGTCGAGAGTATCGTTCGAAATCAGAATAGTAATGTGGTCGAGGTGTGTGGTGTCATTGTGAAGTAGTTGCATTGACACCACAGCCCGAAACCCGGATCAAATTACTCAATATTTAGAATGAAGACAGGAGGAAATCCAGAGGATGATTAAGTGTGAAAAATGCTAGTTGCCAGAGCTAATGTACATAAATTTGTGCATCGATATTCATTTGCAAACGACAATTCGAGAGTTATAGTGTGGATTGGTTGGTGTGTGAGTTTTTCTGTGTGTGTGTGTGTGTGTGTGTGTGGATTTCCTTGAGTTAGGATCTATTCGAGTAGACTTATGTGTGTAATTACCGAACTCTGCGTTCAGAGTCACCTCTCAATTAAGATTCATTTGAGACGATCGATTTGGCTCAATCAATTCAAAATTTATCTATTTAATAGACTGCAAAATCAATGAAATATTTATTCGTTTATCTAAAAAAAAATGTCTTTCGTTCCTCTTGAGTTGTTGATTTTGCTGATTGGAAAATATGCAATCGAAAAAATATACATTTATATCATTTCCAAAATACATTTTTATTCGGGCTTTGCTCCGAGTGAGAAAGAAGAGAAAAAGATTGTTTTCGTTTTCATTTTTCTAACGAGATAGCACCCGCAATGTGATTGAGTGAAGCACGACATTTAAAAAAATAGTTGAATGATCGATCTATTTTGCAATAGATTGCAGTTCTAAAATATCATCGTTTGAATGATTATGAAGTGAATTGGGTTTTTCGTTTGTACTTTTTTTTCCACAACATTCGCTCTTCAATTTGTGTTTCGTTTAAATTGGAATAAACAAACCAGAATTTGAATGTGAAACTCAGTTTGGTTTTTTATATAAAAAAAATGATTGTTATTATTTGTTGTTGGTCATCGTCATTAAATCTCGTTTATCTTTTTGGCAAAAAATGGTTGTTATTCACTATATCATTTAAATTTGGATTATTGTTCGAATTGCTTACGAATTCACACACACAAAAAACGTTACAAGACTTCTACGATTAACGGGGATTTTATCCGCTACAAATACTTAACACCTAAAATATTTCATTGTCATTAGTTTTTGTTTTTTTTTTATTCTGGAGTTGTTTTATTTTCTTCAAATCGCTGACCAGTGCTGAAAAACTCGCCCAAACATTTAACAAATTCCATAATTTTATGATTGACATTCAAAAATCCACACGTACACACGAAAAAAAAATGTATCAGTTTCAACTCTCAGCATTTTTGTATGGTACTTGGTCATTTTATTTGTTCTCCTTCTTCTACTTTCATTCGTTCAAAATGTATTTCTCACTTAATTTGATTAATTAGTTTTTAATCCCATTTGTTTAGATCTATCAATTTCGTTTAAGTTTTTTATTACTCATAATATGTTTACTTTTGTTTTCATTCGAATAAATGCTTATAAAACAGTTGACCCGAGGCAGTGAATTCTGGATATTATGACATATTATTATAAAACTATAAGAAGTTAGAAACCGAAGAAATTTGGGATAAACGTTCGAAATAATAATGGTTTATCTTAAGCTCCTCGTTCAAAAGAGAAAGAAAAAACAAAGAACTGAAAGAGACTTGGATATATAATCTGTTTTCTTTTTCGTTTCATTTTACATTTTTGTATTCAAAATTTGATTGGTATACAGTTACATATGCGCATTTTAAAATGGATGCATGCAATTTCCTTTTTATTCATCAATTATTTTATTAATCCTTTGTTATTCCTAATTTTGTTTTCTGCTATTAAAGCAAATAAAATACTATTTGCCAATTACAAACATAAGCACATGGATGTGTTTTTTTCTCAATTTATTTAACATTTTTGATTTATTTACCAATTCAGAGATAGTATTTGATTTTTCCTATTTTTTTTTGTCTCAATTTTTAAATATTTGTGATTTCTAAATTTTCATTTTTATTTAAATCAATTTTGATAGTTTTCTCTTAGAAAGCGATTTTTAATCAATTTGTATGATTGTTTTTCTATTCTTATTCTTCTCATGTTTAGAATAATCTTTGAAAAATGAAATTAAAACACACAAAGACGTATAATTTATTATTGTAAAAAATTCAAAATGATGAATCGGAAGTTTTTTCGCCGATCGAAAGGAAAGAACAAATTACTTGAAATCGTGTTCAAATGATCATTATTTTTCCCTTCAGTTATAATCTAAATCCATTATGATTTTTATTGTGTGTGTGTGTATTTGTTTTAGATACTATAAAATTCGATGGTTCACATGGTCTCAAAAGTGAAAAGACTATATATATCTATATGCTACTATGTTCTTCCTTCGTTATTTTATGAGAGACGTTGAATTTGGTGAATTCATTACGACGACGAGACAAATTAAAAAAAAATACAAATCTTCAACCTCGATATACAAATTGCATAACACTGGCCATCACTGGCAGAACAAAGTTCTTCTCGCTTCGCTCTTGGTGACACATAAGCACTAAATTACGTCAGTTCTGATTAGCTTAAGAGTTTTTCTTTTCAATTTAGCTGCTCGTCATTTCGTTTTTTTTTTCTTGCTTTGATATATCTTACGATACAACAGAAAAAAGAATAAAACGAACAAAATTATGTGAGTTTCTATGTAAATGTGGTCAAATTTTTAGTTGGTTGTGTTTTGTTATTTGGCTCGCTTCGTCCGAAAAACTGATAACCCTAAATTATTATCTTATAAAAGTTAGTCCTGTGTGAGTATTAAATGTAGAATGACGTTTGGTTTAAGGCGAGACATAAGGTGGCGGTTTTCGGTATGATGGCGTCACTGGTGATTTTCCACGCGATTCTCGTCCGCTCATTGCAACGGCTGGTGGCGGTATATAGTCTTCTAAATCCTCATGATCTGATTGAAAATCGATGAAAAAAAAAAACAAAACGAGACAGACAAACGATTAAAATGTTATCGTCAAAAAGAATCATTGGTTTCTTTCAATTCAATTGAAAATGTATTGAATTCCAATGATAAAATGCTGACTCACCGTCTGGGTTTGTGCTGTTGTATGATGGTGGTAGCAATGGTGGTTTCTCATCCTTCAGAATGATTGGTGATTTGTTTCCGATCTCTGGTTTTTCGTCTAATTCATCTTGGAAGATAACTGGAATACCCTTTGAACGGAACGCTCTGCGTTCCTCCTCATCGCCAGCTGCAGAAAAAGATGGCAACAATTAAAATTCTCCATCCGCACGGATCAATTGGCAAGTAAAAAGCGAACTGTGTTAGTATGGAAAGCTGATATTACCATACTTACCAAGCTCCATTTTACCAGTCATTCGACGGCGATGCAAAACGCAGGCAATGATACAAGTCAGGAAGAGCATGGCCAATATGATGACTGCTGGAAGAATGAATGTAAGAAGATGATCGTCTTTGAAATTGAGTGGATCGCTGTCATCGGGTTTGATTGGTATGTTCGCGGTAAGGACTTTATTCTGATCGGTTGGTAAACAGGGGCCGGTCGGTGCCAAATGAATTTTAACGAGATCAAATTCATTTCCGATGATATCTTTGACACGTGAACGAATCGAACCGTCTTTGTGCAACAAAATATTCTTCAACGTATCAATTTCTTCAGTTGGACACACGTTGTGTGGACGATGCAGTGTGGTATTGAAGAATGTTACGTATGTTGAGCCGGTTTGATGAATTTTGCGAATGGAACGGATTTGAATGTTCGAGGTGGTTGGATCGTTGTAAATCTGTGCAATGCGCTCGATGAAACGACGTTGTGAGAGTGAATTGTTGAAATCTTCGTACGGCATATTCAATGTAAATTCGAATGCCGTGCTGTATTCCCGGTGTGGTGGTTGGCTGACAACAACAACAAGGGCATCGCTTGCCTGTAAACCTTCCTTATCTTCGGCTACCAACACGTATTCACGTTGGCCAGCATCGCCAAATTTCGGTACACCATAAAATTCTTGATTTTTCGAATCGAATTGCAGCCAATATTTGGGATCCAATTTGCTGCGTTCATATGTGAGCAAGTTCAATTCCAAATCAGTTCCGTCTTCTGGATCGTAGAATGTATCCTGAATAGTGTGATTGGGAAATGACATGAGAATTTCATTGCAATATAAAATTTTGATTTGGAATATTGAACCAGTTAAAGTGTGTGTGTGTGACATGATGAACACTTACCGATGGTACTTTGAATACAAGCAATTGGTTGATGGTTGCATTGACTCGATCGACTTGGTTTCGTGCAATTGGTGGATAGTTTTTCATCATGTGTGGCGTTGGTTTTGGAGCGGTTGGTTTAACGGTTTCTGGTTTCGAACATGTTCCAATTGTTTTGCCCTCAATCGATTTGATGGACATTTGCGGTGATACGGCGTTGCTCAGTGTAGTCGGTGTCAATTTGGCGGTAATTTCATTTAGTTGCATTTCCGGGCACACATCCTTTGGCAATGATTCGTTTGTATAAATGAATGTGGCCGCATTTGAATCCTGAATGCCATATCGAATATCACGAACAAGCACACTAGACGTAGACGTATCGCCCAAAGTATCCACAATTCCCTTAATCAAATGCATTTCCCAATCAACATTGCTGGCAAATTCAGTCAACAAATTCACAGCGATAATGATTTCGTGGTTCACGCTTCGATATGCTTTATGCTGTTGCACCGTAATATCCAGTGATTCGACCACACTCTCATTTGCATTGTCTGTGGCTCGCAATTTGAATTGCCACTTCGATACGGCATCTTCAAGGGGCCTGCAAAAAAAAATTGAAGAAGAAAAATGCAAACACAAAAACCCAATTATAAACACATTCTGGTTGACCATTCTGGTTTTTCAGTCGAAAACAAAAAGTTTTTACTCCTACTTACAATCCATAAATGCTTCTTGTATCTGGATTGAATTGAATCCATGATTTTGCCTCCAATGGTTTCTCGTGTTTGTCCAATAGTTCAAGTTTCAAATTGGTACCATCTTCTGCATCATAGAATGTGTCCAATGGCACAATTTGATTGAACGTCTTTCCAGCGGTGACGGGAAGTTTCATTAATCGTGCTTTTATCACTGGTGCATTGTTAATATTTTCGGGTTCAACGTATGCTTCGGTCGTTGTAGTCGGTTGAACGGTCGTTGTAGGCAGTGCTGTGGACGAAGTTGTTACAATCGGAACAGTCGTTCGTTCGGGTATTGTTGTTTCCTGAGATGCGATTGGAATTGTTGTTATCTGAACCGAAAATTTTGCATGGATGTCGATGAGATATAAAGATAGAGACCAAGATGATGAAATAAAAAGAGCAAATCATTCATAGGTTAGTTATATCATTTAAAGCAGCAGGCACCGCTGTGCCTGTGTGGCACAGTAAACCACAACATTGAATGGAAAAACGAGACTACTCTTACCGGTGTGGTTGCCTTTTGTGTGGTCGGTGTTGCAACACTGATTTTTGAACCATCATCATCGTAATCGTCGTCATCGTATTCTGACTCATCATACTGGCCACTGTCAGTGGTTTCGAATGTATCCTCGACAGCATTGCTTGGTTGTGTGCTTGATGTCACCACAGCTACATTGCTCTAAAATATTACGGATTGTCCGAAAGGAAGAAGATGAATACAAATTAGAATCATGTTTTATGCTATTGTGTCATGCATACATCAGTTTTGCTTCAAAATTAATCGTTATTATTTACAAAAAATTCACAGTGTGTACAAAAGGAATACAAATCTTATCTATATCTGTATAAATCGAAAATTTAAAGAAATTGCAAAAAAAAAACAAAAAATCTGTCGTAAAATAAATCAACCCCAACTTAAAGTTTAACTCAAGTGAACTTGAACAAAAATCTATGCAAAAAGAAAAGTTTGAAATTGTGAAATAAAGTATGTGTAAAAGAGTGAAGAAGAGAAAGAGAGACAGATTGTTGTTATCACCTTTGCTGGCAAAGTTACTTTGGGTGCAGTCACTTCACTAGTGCGAAGTGATGTTTCAGTTGTGATCGATTCCGAACTAGAGCTCGGCACATTGGTGACGGCGACCGATTCAATTTTGTTTGTAACCGAAACGGGCGAGTTGACCAACACTTGGCCGACGGTTGTCGAAAATGTTGTTGATTGTGATTCGGTTGTGTCGGCATTTAGTTTTGATGTCGTCGAAATGTAAGGTGTTTCTTGTGAGATGATTTTGGTGGTTATGAATGTAGCAGTTGATGATGAAGATAATGATGACGATGATGACGATGGCAATGTTGGCTGTGTTACATCCAATGATGACTATTGATGGTTAGACATTGTGCACATTCCACATAAGTTAGTGAATTTATTCATGTATGTGTGCATATTTTGTTTGTTTTTGTATGTGTATATGTGTATGTGTGTATGATTTCATATGTAATTGTGGTATGGTGAAAAGATTTTTGTTTTTGTTGTATTTTCATTGCGGTTTGTGTACAGTTTGAGCAGCGCGCGCGAGCGAGCGATGGAAAATACAAAATGGAAACATGGAAAGTATTCGGTTAGTAACATGAATACAATGTTGACATTTTGAAAAAAACAAAATATAATTATTATGATAAAAATGTATGAACTTGAACGTAAACACAATGATTAGAATCATTCACCATTTCTTCGGTTAGTAGTATGTAAAGAAAACCCATTTTTGTTATAAAACCCAAACGAAACAACAACCAAAGACGGAAAAAAAAACCCAAAAAGGCATGCAAAACCGTGTTATCCGAAATATTTTGTGCGAAAAAAAAAATGAACCCCTTCAGAAAAAAGGCGCAATTATACATATGAGTTGGTATAAATTTGGTGTGACGAAAGAAAGGAACGATAATTTTGGTGCTGAATTACGAACAAAAATTTTGAAACGAAAGAAATAATGATAAGGAAATTGTGTTGTTTGCTGTTGAAATCGCAAATGAAAAGAAATTTGATGTGTGTTTGTGGTGCTTTTGTGGAGGATGGAGGAGTACTACGGAGTCTTACCTTTACTGTATCGAGACTTATCGTAACATCATCGAAGCCTTTATTATTATTTATATTGCTATTGTCGAATTCGTTCGATGTATAAATGATCGGTTCGTTGTGCTTGGCCACACCGACGGTAGTGGTGGTTATAGCTGTCTTTTGTTTATCATTGTCAATGTCAACAGTGGCCAGTTTTCCATTTTTAACCGTATTGTCTTCGATAACATAATCACTTTCTTGTGCTTCGGCTGGACGCACATCAGTCATTTGTTTGGGCTTGATGACAATGGCATCATCTTCGGAGAATGTTTCAACAATTGGCTCAAAATCATTGTTTGTATCGAATGAATCCGTCAAAATGACCTTTTCAGTGGCCGCTTTGCGTTCGTTCTCAATTTTTTTCAGCTCTTGTTCCACTTCTTTGACATTTTCATTGTTATTTTCAATGGTTTTTGTAATGACCGATTTCAATTGTGTCACTTCATCCTGAATCGATGACTGTTGACTGGCCAGGGTTTGCGTTTCAATTGGCTTGGCATTCGTTTGTTGCATCTTCAAATCGATGATGTTACGATCAGCCGCTTTCACAACGGTCGAATCAAAAGCGGTTAGTTTTTCACTCATTAACTTTTCGTTGCGATCTTTTTTCGAAAGCTATATGAACCAATGAATGTTTTGGGTGAAAATATATAGAGAGAAATATTATAGAAATGATGGGTTGGTTTTCTTTTGATGCTTGAGGATTTCATTTTGCGCATTTTTTCTACTTCTTCTTTTATCCTTTTGTTATAAAATATTTTATTTCGCAGTAAATCATATCGATTTTCTTTTTCCAAGTAAGCGAGCCAATCGAATGGTGCTTGCTTGCCTGGGCTCTCTGCTGAAGCGAAACTATTTAGTTTTGATGATGGGGCGCGCGAACATGTATGAGAGAACACTACCGGTATATTAGAAGAAGGCACAGACAGACAGAGAGACATAGATAGTGAGTAAGTGAGTGTGTGTGTATGTGTGTGGAGAATTTATCAATTGATGCGAACAGCAAATGGGATTTATAGTTAAAGCTTGGGAAATGTCTTGCTAATAGAAGTGGCAAAGTAATAACAACGCATAATGACAGTGTGAAATATGTATCAAGGGAATAGAAACAGAAACAGATAAACAGTGATATATAAATATAGAGGGAGAATTATGATTGAGACCAAGAGTATTGTCACTTCAGTACTGCTACTTTGTATAATTTTAGCATTATTATTTAGGGGGGAGAGGGTTCATATGTGTGTAATATGTCATCGACATAATAGCTACTTTGAAGCAATATAAACCTCTGAACCATTTCTTAAAGACGTAATTTATATTCGTTAATTTAAAACTAAATAAAACCAAACCATTATGCTGTGGCTTAATATGAGATCAGTATATAAGTTTAACAGAACAATAATTACGGAAATATATATTAGAAAATTCATCGATGAGCACAAATGAAAACGCATCGATTATATTGTGCGTATGTGAATGGATCGGATTAAACAAAAAATACAATAATAATATCGCCTAGATTCAATAAAGCGAAAATATTATCGATCAGTTGTTGTTTGACTTTTTCTTAAATTTGTGTCAAGAATGAAAGTATCAAACACTCGAACAAACGAAATGGAAAAAAAAGAAAATCGGTAGAAATCATCCGGAAAATAAATCAGGGTTAATAACTAGCAATAAGGTCAATTTTTCATATTACAAATCTCATTCAAATGTTTCATTACAAAAGAGAATTTCTCATAACATCACCATAATTCATTTTTTTTTTATTGATTTTCGCCTCGAATTTTTACTCTTTCTTCTTGCTTTTCTTTCTCAAACAACGAAATTTTTGTTTTAATCTGACTACGTTACAAAACACGAAAAATGCGGCTGGAAAGTAAACCGCAACTAAAATGATTATACTACATTAATTTTACATACCGACTCGTCGCCATGATGGTGTCGGTGTGGATGTTCATCGTGTTCTTCGACTGCTGGTTTTACTTCGGTCACCGGTTCATCGGGTGTTCTGAGAACAAGAAGACGTAGAAATTTCAGTCACACAAAAACAAAAGCAATTTTATTGAACCGAAAATGCTGAAGATTGAAAATGCGTCGAATTGACGCAACGTCATAAAAATTGTGTGCGAAAGAAATCCATAAAATTAAAATCGAATTGACAGCGAATCCAATGCGGAACTTACTCATTTTCATCATCATAATAGTAATCGTCGTCGTCGTCTTCTTCGCCCAAACCATCGTTCGCGTTGTCGGTATCACGTTTGCTTCGCGGCGTTCTAAATGTAATTCAATTATGTTGAAAAATGTCAATGTATCAAATGCAATTTCATTTTTCATCCAACGAAACTTGCTCGCCATTTCTGAGCAATTTTTCCGAACAGAATCGAAATATTCAGTGTATATTTACCGGTAATTTGGCTGTTTTTCCCAAATGCACCACCAGTCAAAATTCAATCCGGACGCTTCGCTAATTAAATTTTCTTCCATTTGACGCGACATACGTTTGGCAATTGTGCTGCCGGTCGTGAAGTAATCGCTGCAACCAATCTGTTTCGCATTCGAAGTTAACCAATGAAAAATCGAGACCGAGCGGAGTCGAGAAGAAAAGAAAAGAATGAATGAATAAGAATAAAAAAAAGAGACCGAACATGTTCAATTCAATTACAAGAACATTACATTGATGATAATGGTTTGATTTTGCCACGCGATATATATACTCACCACAAATTCAAGTTTTCCGAAACGTTTACGGTCACTTTTTGGTACATGCTGGCCTTTTTGCACTGAATTCTTTTCCATTTCCGAAATTTCTCGTTGAATAATATTGGTTGTGACCATCGAATCCTAGTACACGTACAGACATACACACAAAATGAATCGATTTATTTAGTTAGCTAGTTTTCTCTCTCCTTTTTCTCTCTCTCTTTTATCGTCTCCTTTTACAACATGTTGATGTGAAAATAAAACGGATTTTATGCGATATAACAAACCTTTGGAACGTTGAACAATTTCGACAATTTACTTAGTGCTCGATCACGTTTGTTATCAATAATGTCATCCCAGCTGTTGGTTCGCAGAATCAACGACAACATGATTTTCTTGGCCGTATGCGGGCATCCTAACAACTCCTGCGGATTATCGGGTTCAACGAAAACATGGTGCGGAAAGAAAAATACACGAACGAAATATATTTTAAAAAAAAACACACGGTATTAGAGATGAAAGTAGCACACGGATTTAAGTTCCCAAATTGATTGGCGCAAATGACATGCATTTTCGTTATTGTTGTTTCGAAGAAAAAAAACATGTTAAAATAGGAAAAAGCGTGTTTAATTGACAATACCTTTTTGTATGTTGCTAATTTCAGGGAGTGTCGTTGAGCATCGTCAGAGTGTGTCATTGGTCCAGCGGGTTCAGCCTGAAACAATTGAAATGAGTGATGAGAAGAAAAAAATCAACAACATTGCACACTTGAATTGTAAAATATGATTATTTTTGTGCGATATCTTGATGTGTGTCGGTGACGAAGTTGACGTGACTTTTGTTCGCTTTTCCTATCAATATTACTCATCAGTTTGTGCCATCAAACAAACGACGCCTAATTAAGGCATTGTTATGCTTGAAAGGTTATATGTGATCATATGTTCAATATGCGTTCAATGTGTGTTTTATGCATGGCTCTTGTTTCGTGGTCAATTAAAGTTAATCGACAGCTTATTCTATGCTCTGCCATTTTTCTCTCTCTCTCTATCTGCATCTCGCTTCCTCTCCACACTTTTAATTACTGTCACACAATTCGCTTCGATGTAATAAATGATCGTGTAGTTTTTTCAGTGTGTGCTATTCTTCCAAGTTCTAAATTTTCTATAAAAACACACGCTCACAAGCGCACGATATTTCCAAACCAGATGCAAAATAGGAATTGAATTTATAATGAGCTGGTTACCGTTTGGTCGTGCGCGATCTGTGTCGGTCAAATTGAATAATCCACCAAATAAATTTGAGCAAATTGAGAGTTAAGTTAGTCCCCTATGCGAGCGCATTGCACGCAATTTATTATCAAGTTGCGTCTGTTTTTCCCTCATTTGAGCATTCGTTATTTCCATGTTGTTTTGTTGTTGTTTTCTTTTTATATTTATGTGATTCGTTGGCCGTTCACATTGCACAACAATTAAATCGACAAAATATCGGGCTTGAATGAGCATCGCGTACAACACGAATGTCACATATCAATGATAAAATGCCCATTCCAGTTGAACTTTCATTCCGGACGCATTTCGTTTCTAAACAAAAACACTTTCCATTGATTTATTTCTATTCATTTAATTTGAGTCTGTTTTTTTCTCTCTCTTGTGAGTGTGTGTGTGTGTGGTTTCGCTCTGAATGTTTATCTTGTAAACGATTGACTGACTGACATTTCTGGAGTAACAACACTGATGATAATAATTCAGATGGTGTAATTTCTTAATATGCGATTAAATATGCACATTAAAATAAATTCAATCGCTCTGGGACTGACGATGAAATGTATATATATGCTGTGCATGGTATGTCTGCTGTCGAAAATGGAATGCATTTTCAAATATTGTGCGCATTCTAATTTATATGAGTAATAAAAATTACATTTAAATTAAAATGACAAGCAAACAATGAATAAGAAATGTACTGCGCCGAACTTGGGAGTGTTTTATTCTCTTTTTTTGAGAATTCTATTCGGTTGTTGTACAAGTTTGTGTGTGAGTGTTTTTTTTTCGTTTGTGGATGGTTGCCTCTCGTTTGTGTCGATATTTCCATTGAATTTCGTATATATATATCGAAGATAAAAGTGACAATGAAATCGAAAGAGTGAGAGAAATAGAGCTGGAAAAAAAATCAGCTGCTTGAAATGTCCATATGCATTTATTTAGTTGTTGTTTTTTTTTTGAATATTTATACCGGGAGTTTAGGTATTGAATTTTAAGTTTGTGCATCGGTTTGAGCGGCCGCCATAGAAAGAACGCACAAAAAGAAGGAGAAAGCCGACCGACCAAACACAAGTAAGCAAGAATGAATGAATGAGCATGAATATATGGCAAATGAATCGTGACAGCTGCTGTTTACGCTACTGTTCAAATTTTTCACTGCAATAAAATTGAATTTATTTGTTGAAAATCCACACGTTTTTATGGGCTAACAACACTCTATCGCGCTTGATAATTCTCCTAAAGCCTGTGCTCATTATTAATGATTCGTTCTCCAATTTACACGCGTCTTAAAAAAAAATTGAGCACAGACTGTGTGTGTTCATATCTCTCTCTGTGTGTGTGACGCGCATTCTTTCCATTTTTATTCCGCCCGCTAAAATAAAAACCCTCAAGTGTAACGAATTCAGTTTATGAAAGCGAAAGCGAAAATACTGAAAAAAAAATTCGCAATAGTTTGCAAAGCATCATTAATTTGCTTGCTTGCTTGTTTGTGTGGTTGGATGAACAATTAAACACGAATCATACATTTCAACTCCGAACATAGTCAAATGAACGAGCCTAAAGTATGTTGTATGTGAATGTTTGTGGGTGGATGTATGTGTTAAAAGAAAAACCGCGCACTATTCACGACACTTTTGGCAATGTTTTCCGTAGCCACTGCCATGCACACCAATTCTACTTCGAGCGATTCAAACCGTTTTACAGTTGGTTCATTGTCAACGTGCATAATTCATTTTAATGGGCCATATGGAAGTGAACCACTCTCATACCGCCAATCCACATATACGCACTCACAGTCACAAAAGAATATTTAGAAATGCAATTTTTGGCCACGGAATTTGATTGCCTTTGTGATATGTCAGTGGGAAAAAAGGTGGTGATGGTAGTGTGGAACATAGTCATCGCGCGCACCGAATGTTTTCAACATTGTCAAACAATTTAACAGCATGCAAATGGATGAAACGTGTAGTTGTGCATTGTTAACGTTTTGATGATTCCATTGATTGTCGAATCAGCTTTGGCCCATTCCATATGTTTGACTGAACTCGTGCCCATTTTACCATATTACGCACATTTGCCAAATGGTCCTACGACCCGGCGATCATCAGCAACAGCCGAGCAACAACAACGACAACAAGGACGACATACACTCAACCATCAACAATCGTATATATGCGTCGTATATTTTCGGCACATGTCCAATATATAACACACACACACACACACACGTATAATCCCATTATACTTGTGAAGTGTTTTATGATATTCCAGTTTTTATTACAATTTTCATGCCGTTTTCTTTTTGGGTTTGCCCATTTGTGTGCAGCAATCCAAGTGAATTAGTCGACTGAATCGATGTCTGTATGTTTGCTTGGCCAAATTGAACGTACGTTGTAACATTTTGGCTGATTCATTTTATGGGGAAACTTCAGCGAATACCAAGCCTCATTCCATCCAACAGCAATTCCACGAAAATAAAGTCATTTACATTTTATTCGTTCAATCAATTTTTTCACTTTGATTTAATCTCGTAAAATGTTCGGAATAAATGACTTGTCTGGTTGGAATTGGTTGACGAGTACCGGTTTCAAATAACAATAATTCATTTTTGTTCATTTCATTGCCGGACGATGGACTGTGGCAAATGTGATAGGAAAAAGGATTACAACCATGTCTTAATTGTAACTCAATATTGCCAACGGCATTGCACCAAAGTCACTGTCAATAACATACATTCTGACACCAAAAAATTCAGGGGGGGTCAAGCCAAAAATTCAAGGGGGGACAAAAAAATCAATTTTATCTAGTGTAAATTTCTTCCCGAAAAAATTGCTGACCGGGGGGGGGGGGGGGTCCGCAATTTCGAATTTGAAGAACAAAAAAAAAAAAAAAAAAGGTCCTCACTTTCGAAAATCGATTCTATCTAGTGTAAAACCGGTATCCAGAAAAAAGTGAGGACTAAAACAACAAAAAAGGTCCGAAAATGGCAACGGGTCCAAAAAAATCGTTGGGGGTCAAATTTTGCCAGGGGGGGGGGTCAGGATCAACGAGATCAGACTATGTCAGAACCTACGGTCAATAATATAAAATTTAATGATATTATACAATATTTCGAAAAACTGAGATGTGCATGTTATGCGATAGAGAGACCATTACATTAGCGGCATAAATTGTGATGAGAAACAAAGGAAAAAACAAACTGAAAATGGGACAGTGTGTGTTGTTTGTATATTTAGAATTTAGTGTGAAATAAGATAAATGGATATGGTAGAGAAATAGAAATGGGCGCAATAACAATAACCAACGAAATGATACAAAAGAAGAGTGGAATAAAAGGAGAGACAGAAAGAGAAATGCATACACACATTTAATTTGGGCTGGAAACCATGGAAATGAAGCAAGAAGAATGAAATGAGAAGCGCCTGCCTGATGCGACAGCACAAAGCTAACGAGGATGAGCGCACAGGTGAGCGATACCAATAGAAATGTTTTGTGTACTATGCGCTCGTAAGGAAACAATTGAAATTTTATACAATTTTATTCGATGCTTGTTGTGTGCTGCTTCGTGTGTTCAATTTCTTGCTCTCTCTCTCTCTCTCTCTCTCTCTCTCTCTCTCTTTCATTTCCCGTATTCTGATTCGGCACTCGGTCTCTATCATTCGATATTCTATGGTGTAGCTATGCTTTTGGGTCGGAAATCAAATAAAACTATTTTTAGTTCATCTGCTGTTTCGGAGCGCACAGAATTTTAGCATCTGCCATTGCGTCAGTCAATGTGATCGGTCAGATTTTTGTTGTTTTATCAGTTGTGTTGTGTGTGCTATGGTGAGAAATGGTGCTTGAAAAATTCAGTATTCGGAAACACAATGTGATGAGGCAGTGAGTGATTGTGAGTGAGCGAGAGAGAGAGAGAGAGAGAGAGAAAGATGCAGAGAATCTCTTGTTATTCTGATAGTTATACATATATGTGAGGCGTTGCGATTACGATTGAGAAGAGCATATAATCATTTGTCGGATTTGGTGTGTGTGCGCACACGTCAAAGGGACACAGACACACACGCAGAATGATAATAAATCGAACAAAATCCAAATGAACCGTAAAAACAAATCGTCGTCATCGAAGTGGAAATTAAAATTGAAATTGACACTAAAACCGACTCTTGATTGAAATTGAAAAACTGACCATATAAATTTGTGCACCACAAAATTTCCTTACCTGCAAACCATCGTCGGCAAAATGAGCACGGGGTACACTCAGTTCGATGTGTTGTTCCGCATTGATGTTGAAAACAGCGATTGTCAGCAAAAGAATTGCACTTACGACCCACATTTGGGCCATGATACCGTATCGTCGACAATTCGATGATTGCATTTCTTGCATATTTATTTTATTGTTTTTTCTTCTTCTTCTTCTTCTTCTTCTTCTTTCGTTTCAGTAACACATGCACTTTGTTTCCTTATCAGCACACAATATTTTTCGCCGCCTCTATTTTATTGCTAGTGTCTTGCTTTGTCGTTTTGTTTGTTCGTTCGCCGTTTTATGTCTTTTCGTCCAATCGATAACACTTATTCAGCGCTTTTCCTCAACTCGATTTCGCTTGGCTCTGTAAGAAATTCAATCCAGATTCGTTCGTCTTTTTGTTTCCTTCGCTTTGCACGAAAATGTAGCCAGGAAAAATAGCAACAAAATGTAATAATAACAACAAAACGAACCGCGCGCGCGAATACACACACGTTATCGAACGTTATAACTCTAGTTTATCAATAAAATTGCAACGATGAATTCAAATTCCACAGCTGCGGTTTACGTTTATTTATTTTTGTGATAAAATCAACCACAATTCCGTTGACTGTGCGGTTCGGGTTCGTTTTTTATTTAATTTTTTCTTTCTCGCACTTCTTTTCACTTTTCTTCACTCGAAGGCAAAACAGCACACTTCAAATTCACTTAACCGATTGCGGGGATAACATAATCTGTGAGTCATTTGCCGTGCAAAAGACGCGAGCTCAATATTCTTAAACTCTCCAAAATGTGTTTAGCTCCGTTTTGTTGTTCAAACACTGAATGCATCGAAATAACTTGCGCTTTCGTCGAGAGTTAGTCATTCACAGCTCATCGACCGAATACATACATATGGTGTACACATCAAAACTTCTGTGTATAATACACACACGGTATCTTGCTCTCTCGCGCGCGCTAAAATCTTCGCCGGGGAAGAACGTTTCTTATTCGGTTCTTGTTTTCTCGTACGAAAAAGAAAACACACTCACACACAAAACACGGGTACCGAGTGTATGCGAGTGAATGAGAGCGATTAAATTTCGAAAACTACAACAATTTATTCATTGGAAAAGGAAAAGCGGAAAAAAAGTCGTAATAAATTTTGATGTGATTTTTTTTCTCAACGGAGAGATGAAAAAGTCAACTTTGTTTAAGCAAACCCGTGCTTGAGAGATCTCTTTCTCTCGATCTGACTCACTTAACAGAACAAACGCGAATGCCGAGGGTAGAGATTATAGTGGCATTGTGTGTCGCTTGATTGTCGTGTTGCGCTCTTGCAAGTGTTAACCACTCTCCGGATAGTTTGTTAGCTTTTTTTTTATTCCACTCTCCTGGTGTTGGTTGGTTGCTTGTTGGATGTGCTTCTGCTTCGTCGCTCACTCTGCGCGTTGCGTTCCGATCAAGCTACGTACACCGAATGTGTATGTACGGTCGTTTCGATTGTGCTATTGATACGTTTTATATTCCGTTCTATTCGACGTTTGTTTATTTACTGCAGCCCCTTTTCATATGATTCGGTGTGTCGGTAAACCGATTATTACTGTTATGAATATGAGTTGAGAAGAATATTTGTATGTGTATGTATGTGTGATGGCCGTGTGCCGTCGCTAGCTGATGCAAGCACGATCGTGTCAATATCAATCTGCAATTGAAACGAAAAAAAGGAGAATGAAATAGATGGAAAGAAAAACATAAGAAATATTGAAATAGTAACAGAGTTCAATTTAGGCAAAAACTATGGCTAGAGATATTGAACTATCGGCAGCGCGCGTCCGTGTAACTGAAACCAGCGACGGGAAAGTGTTGGGAAACAACAACGAGTAAAGTAGAGCGACAATACACGAAGAAGGAAAAAAAATCGTCGAGTATAGGAGCGAGAGAAATATGTGGATGAGGTCAAGGGTTTCATTGCATTATAAATGCTTCTCCGGGTTTTGTTGTTGTTGTTTTTGTTGTTGTTGTTATTGTTATTGTCACAAGTCAGCCCCAGTTCGAGAGCACTGTGTAAGTCTACCCGAATAACACAAGGAACGAATATCGTTGCTCTTCGCATCGCGGATAATCATGCAAACAACCATGATAACGTTGCATCTATTTATTGTCTTGAATTACTGTTTATTAGATAATGTTTGGCGATGACACAGTTTCTTGGGATCTTCTTTGTCAATGGTTTGTTTTCGCTTCATCGTCGTTGTCGACGACTTTGTCAACGCGATCACACCAATTGATGCTATTATTTCTGCTCCCTGCTTTAGGTCACTTGCACTGAAAGTCATTGCAGTTTCTTTCTCCTTTTATTTCGTTCTCGCGCCATATCTCTCGGTTGCATTCATGAGGCAGCGGAGCGCTAACAATGACGACGATTAAATTCAATTGCCGTTCCAATGTTGCATCGCGCAATTGATTTTATAACCACATCTTCTCGCTTTTTTTTCTCTGCTTCATTTCATTTTTTTGCTAGCTTGCAAAATTCCTTTGACATGAAAAATCAACGAGTTTTCGCATTGAATTGATTAGAAAACGATTTAAACGTTAGCGCATGAGATTTTCAATATCAAAAGTGAGGGTAATAAACTGATTCAAATGTATTTTTAACTCATATTCTCATAGTAGTGTGTGATGTAAATTTGTATGACAATCGACAATCGTTTGTACTGCCGCAGTCATTGATCGGTGTGAGGGTTTAGCTGTCACATAATTCACATCTTTTTTGTTTGTCTCCATTTCTCTATCCGTGTGAATATGTGGTGGTTTAGATTGTAAGCCGCCTCTTTTGTGGCAAATTTGCACATTTTTCGGGTATTTTAGGCGTTTGTTACATGCGCTATATGCCAAATGAAAAATGCATGCTGGTTACATACGATGCATTATGATTTGGTGTGGCAAATCATTTGTACATTTCAACGGTTTCAACATAATAGGCCAGTATTGAATTGTCGATATGAAAATGATTTCTTCTGGCTGCACCCACTAAACTGACGCTTGTCTGTTGTGACTCGTGCATCCAGAGAATGAATCATCTGTTTTGGTTTCTAGCGAATTGAAATTGAAAACGAAACCAATTTCATGAGAGAGACAGAGAGACAGAGAGAAAGAAAAAAATGTTTATGGGTTGTTTTTTGGCTCGGAAAACTTGGGTTTCCGGTGTGTCTTTGCGGTGACGTGAACTGTTATCAAAGTAAATTGTTTACAAAGTGGAAATGCATCGAAAAATCAGATCGAAATTCAAAAAGTTTCTTTTTCGTGTGTTGTTTTTTAAGTCAGTTCAACAGAATCACATGCTCCATCATTAATCTCTTCGATGAGTCTATGAAGAGAACACCATAATGACAGATCATGTGGATTTTTGGAATCGTGTGAGAGAATGCAACGTATTTGACACATCAAATTGAATCAATCTCATTCAGATGCCACTTGAAAATGCCGATGGTTTTCGATTTTCCAAAATTGGCTGCCGATGACAATGAACACACGAGCGCGCAACACAAACGATTAATCGATAGGCAACCATACTAATTTCCATCTCATTTGATGAGCCAAAGACCGAACGGTTTTATTTGCTGGAAGTGTGAAAAGATTCAATTACAAAATTAGAACCGGTGGCGGAAATGCAGCAACAGGAAAAGAGCTAGCGCACGATGAACGGAACGAAAAAGCCAACCAAACCACCATCGTCAGTCTCGCAAAGTAATTAGTCATGTTGCATGTAGTAGCAGCAACAGCACTTTTTAAGGTGCTGGACAAAACGTGTGTGTGTGTGATTGTACGCTTGCGGTGCATTCATAATCAGTTTAAATGTTGGATAGCGTTTTGTACACATATGTACTATTATGTCGTACATACATGCTTCTGTTCCGCAGAAGCAACTTTGTATGAGAATTTTTTTTTTGGCAAATCCATCAACTGCATTTCTTTTTCTCTCTCACATCGCGCTCATTTCCATTTCGGCACACGACAGAGAGAAAATTGAACGAAAATACACGCGAATAAAATGTATAATATTTCAAATTAGACGGTTTCAAGAATTTCAATCGCAAGTAGATTTCTAATTTCAGCACTTCTTCTTTTGTGTGTGTGTTTCGAGTGAGTGAGTGATTATAAGCGAGTGAATCAAAGGAGAATGATTCTTTCATGATTCGACTAGAAAATGAAGAATGAGTAAGTGAGAAAGTTGTTTCAAGTGTTTGTACCCATTTATCATATGCAATCATAGACGTCGTGTCATGCATTTGTTATTGGCATTCAATGCACTCTCGCCCTGTGTTTGTACAGCATTTTTGTTCTTTCCTGATTTCATATTGCTTTAACATCAACATTTATGCGTTTTTATTGCCGAATAAAAACGCACTGTGTACAAATATGCACAGACACACATATGCTGCCGCGTGTACGAGTGGAAAAAACTTGCAGCATACACAAATTGTGACGAGGATTGAGAAACGCACAGTGACATCCAGGGTTTTTAATCGCCATACAATGGCTTTCAAATCGAGAAAATATGTCAAAAACAACAACATATAGAAAGATAGAGAGAAAAGAGAATCGAAAACAAAACACACTCCGTCAAAACACACACACACACGCACACTCAGTGCATATACTGAGAATAGAGGACTGCCGAACCGTATTCATTGGCGAGTTCAATAAACTGATCACTCTTTGACTTGAAATCCAGAAATTCCATAAATTTTCGGAACAATTATACGGCGGTTAGAACATAAAATAACAAATTAACTATATGTGTGTAGGCTTTTTTCCACTTCTTTTCATTCGACGCGCAGTTATGATTAAAAGCGGATTTCGGGGAAAATTATGATTCGGCTGTAGCGGCAGCGGCAGCGGCAACGACGACGACTGCAGGAGTTGTATGCAACCGAGATACGGCCTTTTGATTTGTTTATTGGGAAATGTGTATTTGAAAAGGAGCCAAGAGAGTGCATTTTTTGTTGGCATTCGTTTAAATGTTGCCACTCAAAAGTGTATATGTGCATGTTGTCGACACAACAAACACATTTCAAACGATTTTTCATGGTGGCCGTGAAATGGCACGCATTTCGGCACATTGCGTGATCATTCATTTGTCAAATCAAATTGAAAAAGTCATAAACGTATGTTTCAAACCGGTGATGAATGTATCCTATGTACGATCTGTTTTCGTTTTTTTTTTCTTTTCGTCTGAGATTTTCAGTATCGATATAACATTACGTTGTGTGTTGTTTCAACTGCAGCAGGCGCGCGATCGTCAAAATGAAAATATGCGGCCCAATGTACATTCGGTACAGTGTTTATGCAGCAAAGAAATTCAATTAATATTCCTGTGACGTGCACCCAACATGCAATGCACTACATGTACTTTATATATATATTTTTAAATACTTTCTTCGTTCCACACAGCGAAGCAATATCAACGGGATCGGCACCATCGAAACAATCATCCATAGTTTCTATGCGGGACAAAGAATATTTCCGAATTATGAGCATATATAGACGCAGTCGTTCGCACGCGCGTTCCGTCCTCTTTTGCACAATTCGTATACAATTTCAATGTTTCTTTCCATCAATTTTCTATTTTTAATCCAAAAGAGATATTTGCGGCTATGTATCGAACCGCATTCATCATTCTTACATTCTTAAATTCTATATTCTTTCTGACTCACATAGTAGTCAGTGTGTGTGTGTGTGTGTGTGTGTGTTTTTCATCGCCGATGTTTTTTTTCTCTCTCGACTGTAACTAGAATTCAATTCGCTATTCAAAAATTTGAATTGTTTCCATTGGTTTCGGTTCAATGGGTTGGATGCCAGTGAATTGGTGCATCACATCGTTTCAATTTTCGAGCGTGAATCGGAAAAATTGCTTTTCCTACTTTCCGACCGCATCAATATGTATAAATTTGACAGCTTGTTTGACTTGCACCGAAAGAACAAAACAAAAACATTCACAATGATGCGTGCATTTTGAGCAAATTGATAAATGCTCTCCTTTGGTTTGGTTGAATTGCCATTCGGTGAAACGAACACATCTTTTTTTCTCGAGAGTGGAAAAAAATTGAATGCATTCGTTTAAAACGATATACCGAACATGAATGCTCAGATGTTGTTGATTTTGTTCTGCCAAACTATTTGTTTTCCATGCAGCAGCATTCAATCATTGTTTGCATTGTAATCAACAAATAAGAATCTTTTCGGGTGTCAAATTTCGAAGTAGCCACGGAGAATTGTGTCGAAAAGACATTCTCGCAAGAGCTTTTCGAAAACGTAAATCCGACATTTTGATTGAAATTATCAAGTGTCTGAAATCACACATATATAGAATGTCTTTCTTCATCGCATCTCGGACGGATACTTCAACAGCTGAAAACATGCTTTTCCAAATACATGCTCCGCTCTCTCTTTTCTTGTGCTGGCCGAACTCAACACACAAAAAGGAAATATAATGCGCAAGGAAAATGCCTCAACCGATCTGAATAAGAATCTTTTTTATGGCGAAAAAAAGGAGGAAGACTATACTCGATATCAACTAGTTTGTGCAGTTGACATTTAAAAATAGCCATTTCACACTTTCGCAGAGTTGAATATTGATGGGTATGCTATTGCTACTGCTAATGTTGATGCTGCTGCTGCTGCTGCTGCAAAATGTAGCAA